TTTTATATAGAGAGAAAATTTCAATTTTCATTATGTTTTATTAGTAAATTTAGCTCCTGAGTCATTACTTTTGGTCATTATTGTAATTAATTAATTGATTTTAAATATATTTATAATAATTTTGAAATATTAAAAGACTAATAATTACTTAAAGAATTTTAATAATAAAATATTCAAGATTTTGAATTAGAAAAAAATTAAATAATCTATTTAAACTAAATAATTTAGTAGAAATTCTTAGTAAATTAACTAAATTTATAAAATTATTAATAAAAAAAATTGAAATAGTAAAAAAAATTAATTATTATCTGATTAATTAATATATTTTTAAATTAAATAATTAATTTAATATTAATTATAATAAATATAATTTTAAATATTATTATATCTTGAAATTTAGATTATCTTATAAGATATAATAATAATAAAATAAATTAAAATTATTAAATAAATTAAAATTATAAAAAAATATATAAATTAATTTGTAAAATTATTAATAAGTATGAATTCTAAAGAAAATTATCTAAAAAAATATCAAATTTAATCATTTAAAAAAGAATTTAAATTGAAAATATAATTAAATCTTTCTAAATACATCTTCTCTTAGAATTATAATAAAAAAATAAAAAGTATATATTCATAAAGATTAAAATATATAAAGCTTTTATAAACTGAAATTAGAATATATTATATATTTAGAAAAGAGTTATATAATATATATATTTAGAAAAAATATATTTAGAAAGAATGTACTTAGAGAGATATAACTATAGATTAATTTAAATATTAAAAATATTATAAATAATATTATTAAAATTATTAAAAATATTAAAAAAGCTAATTATAATCTTATTAAGCAGATTTATTATTAATTCAAGCTCAATTAATTATTAAATAAAGTACTCTTATTAAAATTCTTCAAGATTTAATTAGTAAATTAGATCATATAATCTGAAAGAAAAGTTAATAATTAAAATAATTAATAATAAAATTAATAAAATAATAAATTTAATTATAAAGATAAAGAATATATTATTAAAATATATTCTATAATAACTAGCAAAATAACTTATAAAATAATAATAGAAATAATTCTTGAAATTAAAATAATCAGAATTAAATTTTTTTTAATAATAATAATTTGCAGAATTAAAATAATTGAAATAATAATTAAAAGAATAATAATTCATAAAATATGAATATAACTTTTCTTTTAATTCAAATTCAAAACTTAATAGTTATTTTACAAGAATTTACTAATGATATTTTTAAAATATTTTTAATTAATCTAGTTTTTTTCTTTTAATAATTCATAAATATCTAATTAGAAAAAGAAAATATATATAAATAATAAAAAAATAAAAGAAGAAATATAATTATATTATTATCAAAAATTTTAATAAAAACAAGATTAATAAAAAGAAATAGAAGAAAGAAAAGATTTATTTGTGAATATTAATATTATAATTATTCAACTTTTTCTAAATAAAGAATTCAAATATCAAAAAAAAAAAATAAAAAGAAAATTATAAAAAAAAATTAAAATAAAAAGTAATATTTGTTTAAAAAGTTAAAATTACTTCTGTCTAATATGAAGTCAAGATTAATAAAATCCTGATTAACTTAATTATTAATATTAAAATATCTAAATATATTATTAATTATAAATTCTTAAATAATTCAAAATAAAAATACAACAAAAATTTAATATTTTTATATCTAATATTAATAAATATTTTAAATAATTACTAGAAGTTATTGATAGCTTCTCTATTACTATTAATAAAATCATAATTTTTTAATAGAAGTTAATATGATTAAAGCTTAAATAATTATTTAAATAAACCGGTTAAATAAAATTAATATTTAAATTAATTTTAAAAAATATTATGATCTTTAAATGAAATAGAAAAAATAAAATTGGTATTAAATTCATTTATAAACAATGAAGTACATTAAAATGAAATTTATTGATTATCAAAAAAGGCACCAATTTCGAATCATGCTTATAAAAATAGACCAAGTTTAAAATTAATAAAAAAATAGACATTGCTCTAAACTTTGAACATGAAATTTCAATATTAGTATAAATAGATTTTTATTGGGTCGGATACTTCTGGCCCGAACATACTGTGTACATAACGATAAGTACAATAATCAATAAATTTATGTCATGTGAGGACAGGTGTCCAAACATATTTTTGGTCGATTATCTAAACTCATACATGTACAATGCCATTTCGAGTTATGAGGCTCAAAAAATGATATTAAAAAGGAAAAGAAAAAGATAAACCTGCATAGATCAAAATTTTTAATACCGATAATAAATAAATCTTGCCATTTTTTGTATCCAAAACTATCCCAAAATAAGCTCATTTACCACAAAAAAGATAATTGGTGCTAATTTTATCAAATATAAGATGGATTAAAATATCTAGAAATGATTATTGAGATTATTGATGTTATACAGTATTTATTTGATCGTTAGATAGATTGTAATCTAGGATTGAAAAGATCATGAATGTTGAACGAACGATTGTAAATTTATTAAGTATTATTTACTTATTTACATTTCGGAATTGCTTGTTTTGCTTTTGTGCTTGACAAACCAAAAGTTTTGATTATCACCTCAGATAAAATAAATTTATCAATCTATCAATTGATAGATCAATAAATCTCTTCTCGTCTCATACTATTATAATTAATAAATTTTAAAATATATAAAAACCCATCTATCTTATACTCTTCGTTAAACACTTCGCTAACGACAAACGACTTTTGCTATTCATCGAAATAATAATATATAAAGATGGCTTATGTCAATAAATCAAACACTGAAACTCTCAAGAAATATCTCGCTCTCGATCAAGGCGGAAAAATCCAGGCTGAATACATTTGGATTGACGGTGATGGAGGTATTCGTGGCAAGACGACCACTCTGGATAAGTACCCCGAAGATGTCAGTGAATTGAAAGAATGGAATTACGATGGTTCCTCAACTAATCAGGCTCCCGGCGACAACTCCGATGTTTTACTTCGTCCGGCTGCCTTCTTCAAGGATCCATTCCGTGGCGGAAATAATATTATTGTGTTGAACGAGTGTTGGAATAACGATGGTACTCCAAATAGGACAAATTACCGACACAGTTGTGCAAAGGTGATGGATACTTTTGCTGAAGCTATTCCCTGGTTTGGCATTGAACAAGAATATACCTTGTTTGATACTGATGGACAAGTACTCGGCTGGCCAAAAGGTGGTTTTCCTGGCCCACAAGGACCTTATTATTGCTCAGTAGGTGCAAGTAATGCTTTCGGACGTGATATCGTCGAAGCGCATTATCGTGCTTGTCTTTACGCTGGTATTAAAATATCCGGTGTCAATGCAGAAGTTATGCCTGGTAAGTAATTGATTGATGATTTCAATTGATTTGTAATTATATTCACTTTTGATCTCTGCGTGATAATTAGGGCAATGGGAGTTCCAAGTTGGACCATGTGTAGGTATTGAAATGGGAGATCATTTATGGGTCTCACGATATCTATTACACCGAGTGGCAGAAGACTTTGGGGTGGTCGTTTCCTTCCACCCAAAACCAATACCAGGTGATTGGAATGGCGCCGGTTGTCATACAAATTATTCCACATTGGCTATGCGTGAAGAAGGAGGTATAAAAGCAATTCACGAAGCAATTGAAAAGATGGCGGAAAAACATGCAGATCATATTGCTGTTTACGGAGAAGATAATGATAAAAGACTGACGGGCCATCATGAAACTGGTCACATATCACAATTCTCGTCAGGTGTTGCTAATCGTGGAGCATCAATTCGAATTCCAAGACATGTCGCCGCGGAAGGTAAAGGCTATTTAGAAGATCGTCGGCCAGCGTCCAACATCGATCCGTATCGTGTTACAGAAATCATAGTAACCTCTTCTCTCTCATAATACATGTGCGCATATAGTTATGAATTTTTTCATTACAGTATTAAAATACATTTTGTCAGATGAACTTTGAGTTAGATGATGACATCCCACTTTTATATATGTATAATAGATAACTTTTGTTAATAAATTAATCATTATTTGAAATAATAAATTTCCTATATTTTTTCTTTAAAGTGAAAATAAGCCATGATTTAGCCTTATTCTCTTTTTGTATGAAAATAAAATTCATATTTTCACCCCTCTTTTATTTACTTGGATACCTGATAAGGATTTTTGAAGGTGAACTTTGGTCAAAAAAGAATACTAGAATTAATTTCATAATCAAAGCAAAGGGTTATCGGCAATAAACTCAAGTTTGACATGGCCTTTTTAATTCACAAAGAATTACACTAATACGCAAATAGTTATCTCATAAAATGTTATGCCGTCAAAATTATTTTTAAAAAGAATATGCTCAATACTTTGTTAATCCAACGATTTGAGTGATTGAAACAGAGGGAATAGAATTTTCACATTCATTAGTTAGGCAGTAAAGTTAAAGGTAAGGTTGATTGATAATATTTAGTTTATTGATTAGTTGTTAAATTTCTCTGTTATTGAATTACTTGTTGCGTTATTTCTAGTTTACTTGTTCGGGTTTAAGTATTGAACTCCTTGTTAATTTCTCTTTTGAGTTTCACTCTGACGTTTTGAAGCGGGAACTTTTGAAATTATTTTTAAGTCTTGGATTCCAGAAATTCAATTATCATTATATTTTCATCTACAAAGTAAGTTGTACGATAACGATAAAAGAAAATATGAAATTAAAATTAAAATTTTGATTTTATCTATTATAATTAAACATGTACGCCCTTCTGTGTTTAAACATTGTTTGGTAAAAACTAATACACGCCCATATTTAACAAAACCTCAAATAAAGGCTTTATCGCTATTATTGGAATTGGCATGGGAAACGGAATTTTAATAAAGGTTAGTTGTCACGCTGTTCAGGGTATTCAGTGTTCGTCTGTTCCAAATGATAATGTTTCGCTCCGAAATATCTGGTTGAAATTCACAAAAAATATTAATTGTTTCTTTTTCATAAAGGTGAAATCTAATGATTCGAAAAAAAAACTTGCTTCTGACTTTATTATCATTAAATAAGTAGCGGTAACAAAAAAGATTACATGTAATTTTGTATAATCTCAACTTGAAATCTTCCAAAAAAAAAAAGATAATCCTAAACTAAGTATATTTGGTTAGCGATACATGTAGTAAATAAATGCTTTAACATGTGTGAGATCAAATCATTCTACACGTATCAATAAAAATGATTAAATACTAAATCAACTTATACGATAAATAATAAATTTTAATATTTATATAACACTTATTTGCGTTGTCATTAAACAAAAAAATGTTTTTATTCCTCTTCACAATAATTAATCTTGTATTTCTAACTCTGTTCCTAATTTTTCAATCACCAAATCAATTACCACCTTCTTCATCACCAACTACAAACATCATAAAAGACTGTAGCACCAAAAACGACATTCTTGCAATCGAATATATAACCTTGAATCCGGATCCTCCCATTCGAGGTCATGCGTTGAATATTAAAGCTGCTGGGAATCTTAGCGAGACAGTCGATCAAGGAAGTTATGTTGATGTCTTGGTACGACTTGGATTAGTGCAATTGTATAAAGGAAAATTGGATTTGTGTAAAGAAGTCGAACAGAATTTTAATCTAAAGTGTCCGTTGAAGAAAGGAATTCATAAAATTGACAGTGATGTGGATGTTCCAAAGGAAATTCCGATGGTATGTATCTGTTGACAGAATTTATCATGTGAAGGACAACTATTTACGTTTCCTCTTTTAATTTGACCAGGGGAAATACACAGTCGACGCACAAGCGTATACAAAAGATGGTCATAGAATCGCTTGTTTGAAAGCAGAGACTGTATTTAAACTTTAATAGGATCAATATCTGTACCAAATAAAAGTTTTTTATTTCTAATTTTTATTGATTCATTAATGTTTTTGAATGATTCTTCGATCATTTAAAAGTTTATATTGAGAAAAAAATGTAATATAGGTAAACTTATGTGTTACTTTTTATTAATTACAATTTATCCATGTCTCCGATTTTTATAAAATGTTCTTTGGTAGCTACAAATAGTTTGAATTGAGCTCTAGCATACCTATCCAGGTGGCTGACCCCCCCAATCACGTACTCCCTTAATACATGTACACGTATTGCTTTCTATTCGATGAATATTATTCAACGAGTGAATAATATTGAGATTCGTGTTTTTGCAAATCTCAAGTTCCACTTATAGTTATCGTCACGCCATCTTGATTGATCGTCAGCATGCACAGATTTCTTTATAATTCAAGTGTGATGTACTCCACCTTGAAAATCTTGAGTTTACTTGTTGTGATCTGTTTTTCGAGAGTTCGTAAACAAAAAGAACCTTGGATGACTTGACCTCACATAATGATTCCCTATTTTGGTTATTTTGTGTTGAAAAATTATCAAATAAATTTATATATAATACAAAGTTATAGAGCAAACTACAAAAATTAAGAGTTATGCTATATTTGAAATCAGGACGTATAATGGTATAGGATTTCTGAATAGTAAAGTATTTTTCCAATACTACTTTACAGAGATTAATTTATGCATAAGATGTTAATCAACTAAAAGCAAATTGAAGCCTCAAACTCTATCGTTGAATCAAATTTTTGGCTTTGTTGTCTGAAGCCAGCCAAATTCCTAAATCAAACAAGAAAAAGATAGCAAATTCAATATGATCAAGGATCAAAGAAGAAAAGATCAATCTGACAAAAATAGACTCACAAGTTTCTGGTTTCCCCCGGGCCTAATCAACACATTAACAACCACACACTTTCCTGCAAGGTCTTTCTTAAATGCAGCATCAATAGCTTGTCCAAGTTCATCGGGTGTCTTTACTAGAAATCCAACGCCGCCACAAGCCTCCGCTATCAACTCGTATCGTACATCGGGCAATAATGCAGTGGAAGGTAATTGATTTTCGGGAGTTGCTGTGTATTCAATCGTACCTAGACCTTGATAGATCCCATTGTTGTTAATAATGATTATTAAGAGAGGAAGTTTTGCACGTATGGCTGTTTCTATTTCCATGGCACTTGAAATATACACAATTATTGAGTAAGTTTAATGTTATATAATGCAACATACATAATTAATACCTGAATCCAAATGCGGAATCACCTACAATTGCCACAACACGTTTATTTGGATAATGTATTTGAGCTGTAGATAATATACAATTAACTATTATGTATCAATATAAATCAATCTAATAGACTTGAACTTCTACCAGCTATAGCAAATCCCATTCCAACTCCCATTGTTGCGAACGTCCCTTACGATCATAAAAAGATTAAAAATGTTAATAAGTAACAGAAACTATCAACTATAAATAATCGATAAATATTATTACCGGCATCTATTCTACACCTCGGTTCCTCTACATCAAAAATCGTTCGAGCAATATCCATAGTATTAGCTCCCTCGCTAACAAATACCACATCTTTAGTTGGCAACCTTTTTTTAATCTCCCAAAAAGCGCGATGATAATTCATCGGAAGCCCATCATCCTTAAATTTTTTCTCTGTCGCGGTAATATTTTCCTTGATTTTCCGCCGTAGTCCAGTAAGATATGGCGACGATGACGGATACTTGTAAGAGGAGGGTAACGCAGATTGGAGTTGTGAAACAATAAGCGGAAGATGCCCGAGTAATGATACATCGGCACGACGATTATTATGATGTTCTTCAGGGTAAATATCAATTTGTATCAATTTTACATTTTTATTAAACTTTGGCGGTAAGCCAAAGTGCAAAATCCAATTTAACCTTGCGCCAAATAATAAAACTAGATCGGCGTCTGCAAGCGCTTGTGATCTGGCGGCTGCTACTCCTAAACTATGCGAGTCAGGAACGATGCCTTTTCCCATCGGGGTTGGAAGAAACGGTATTCCCGTCTTATTAATAAACTCTAAAATTTCTTTTTCCCCACGTGAAAATGATGCTCCTTTTCCGATAATGATTAGAGGTGCTTTTGCATTCATTATTAATTCCACCGCTGTTTGTACACTCACAGGATCGGC